TCTTGGACTACTATTTTACCAACGAATAGTAGGATTGACCGTCACATTATAACGCCCCCACGGCTGAGCATATTTGGTGGGACAGGGATTCGAACCCACAGACTGCGAGTCAAGCGCCCTAACCACCTGGCCCTTTTCGCTACATGACTGACTGCGATGGAGTAAAGGAAAAAATTATTGAGCATTACCGATCAAGCAAGCACTGATTCCGAAATCATTATGAGTTCACTTGACAGAAAACTGATGAAAAGGAACTTGAATTACAAGAAAATTATTTCTTGCAGTTACGATAGTGCCGCCAATTTTTCAGGAAAAAAAATGGTATGCGTAAGCAACTGTCAGAGAAAGCAGGAAGGAAAATTCCTTATGTACATTGTAGGGCTCATCTTTTATCTTTAGCCTTGGCCAACACTAGAAATAAAATCATGTCTGTGAAGAGAATTCTTCATGTTATCAAAGACATGTATTTACTATTTCACAAGTCTTCAAAGCATGAACGCGTGTTTCAGATATCACTGAAATAACCTGAACTAAAACTTCCAGAATCAGTTGAAGTGTGCTTGGTTTAGTAACTACAAATCTGTTCATGTCGACTTAATTTGTTACTGCTCAATTATGTTGGCCTGTGAGCATATACACAAAGATGGTACAAATTTAGCATCGTTAGCAGGAGGTATCTTGCTGGAAATGGAGAAATCTAGTTTTATTGTTACCCTAGTAGTTTTGGATGAGGCTTTATGTGTAGTATCTCATCTCAGCAGTGTTGCAAAAAGAAAACCTAAACCTGTCGTCAGTTCTTCAGCTTGTGGCGTCGACTATAGCACATTTGAGTGGTATATAGGGACTCGGTGTGCCCATTTAAGTAAAAAAAACTATTGCTATAGCTGTCGTAAATCTCAAAAGGAAGGCTTCTGGTGTGCAGACGATTCTTGAAAATAAGCCTGAAAGTCAAACCTTCAAAACTTTACAAAATTTGTTGACACTATTATTGAACAAATGGAGCATCGATTCAATAATCAAGCGATCTCCCTCATCAACTTATGTACTTCCTTCCAAACGGATTTAAGTAAAAAAAACTATTGCTATAGCTGTCGTAAATCTCAAAAGGAAGGCTTCTGGTGTGCAGACGATTCTTGAAAATGAGCCTGAAAGTCAAACCTTCAAAACTTTACAAAATTTGTTGACACTATTATTGAACAAATGGAGCATCGATTCAATAATCAAGCGATCTCCCTCATCAACTTATGTACTTCCTTCCAAACGGTTTAGTCAATGTGCAGTTTAACATATGATGACGTGACGAGAGGATGTAGCTTCTTTGATGGACTGGATGTTAATGACATGAGCTCCTTCAAGTACGTTGCAAGGAAGCAAGAAAAAAATGTTGTGCATTGCTTGTGGAAACAAACATCGGTTACGACAATCTTACAAAATTAACTGAATGCCTGACAGTGGTGCCGGTTTCTACTGCTGAAGTTGAGCGTTCTTTCAGCAGGTTGAACCGCATTTTAAATAAGCTAAAAAATAGCATCAAGGAGTCCAATGTTCTATCAGATACCTTGTTGTCAAGGGTTGCACGGAAAAAATAAGACGCGTTCATTTTCTCTAAGAGTAGCTACAATGAACCGTTCGAACATATTTTCGGTAATTTGTTTGGTTGTTATTTTGGAAATTCTTGAAAATTACTTTTAAATATCATTACCAGTAATAATAAAATACATCATTGTAAATTTGTGGAGTCAAGTATATTGATTAAACTACAGTATTTTCCATTTTTGTCCAATTTTAATTTATTCCTACCAGCTTCACATTCCTTGGACAAACACTGTCCAATTTACGTTTAATAAATTGGCACGAAGAGTAACAATAAGTTAAAAATAACTATGTATCTTTCGTTACCTTTCATATATTGATTGTGTATAACAGAATGAAACTAAAAGAATAATTTGATTCATATTATAAATTTTTTTATTGAAGAAACAGATCTTAATATAGTATAAAATAATAACATTGGGAATTAATATTTTTATTCCAGCACCTCTGTTAAATGATATTGGTATTGATATTTTTGCAACTTGAACGCCACCTTATACAAGAAATTTGCTGACCGGCCAGGTCAGGGTTAAATGACCTAGTTTGCCTTTTCAAAATCTTAAACTTGTCCTATCATCCTATTATTTTTAGAATTTATCAAATAATTATTTCTTTAAAAATTCCTTGCAAATATATTACAATTTCAAAAAAAGGAAGTGTTCTTTAATCCTCTGAGGGTAAATCTAAATGAGGGAAAGGTAAACTGTGAATCTAACTACACCCTTAAAGAAACCTTCAAGTTCACATATACTGTGGTAAAAATACTTCCAGCGGAGGCGTCGGTACCGGGGGTGCTACATACATATTTGGCTTAAATAACAACTGTAAATTATGTTTGGAGAAGGAAATGCATAGATGGATTGTGAATGATTTATAAAACTTGGTCAAAAAGTAATTTTTATTCAAGAAGCTCCTTTAATACATTTCTTGTGAATACGCGGGTTCGAATGAGTGTTCCCTGATTTTCTTGATTATCAATGAGCACCTTCAAGTGTTCTTGATTTTGCGTTCTGCTGAAAGCTACGTAAAGTTGTCCATGACTAAACACGGCTCTGGCAGGAATACGCAAACCTGTCTCTTCATTACGAAAGGAAGGTTAGTTTCACTGGGATCCAAGTCGATCTTGGGTATCATCACCCTTGTTACTGCCACTGAGAATTATTGCATGGAAGTAGTGTACATGAAGTGCTCTTACAATCAAATGAGTGCCGTTGAGCAATCACTTTCTTGGATTCATGTTGCGTATGAGCATAACTATTGAGCCAGATGGGCATTCCAGATGGCGTCAACTGGTTTAAGAATTCCACTGGAAAGTTTATTCTTGCTTGTTTGTCGTCTGCAACTATGGAGTCAACACTTCTACACACCGTTGTCTCTGCAGTAATGAGTGCCAGCAAATCATTATCCAACTTGAGTGTATCTTTATTTTTTAGGAGTCAGGATAATTCTTGTTGATACATCTTTAATTGTTTGCTCACTTGTGAGGTTTAGAGAGTCACCATATATTATGCTAATGATATCCCTGGGCACGATCATTGCTGGCGGAATCTCCACTATACTTGGGTCCAGTTCAAAAATCTCAAGCAGCTATTTATTAAAATCATATTGACCTGTTGTCCTCATGTACAAAATAAGACAATCCTTGTACATAAATCCACAATGACGATCGTTTGATGCATGATTCTATAATATCTTCATTTGATCCTATGGGTACTGCATTAGCCATTTGACAAAAATCTCCACTAAAAAGTAGAATTTTTCTACCAAACAATTTATCACTTTGCATAATGTCCTTCAGTAGCATATCAATGACGTGCAGTACATTTTTCAATAGCATCAATGCTCATCTGGAAGTTTCCAGGATGGGCACTGGAAGTTTGAGTCCACTGTGAACTGTCCTTCCTCCCTTCAGCAAATCAACTGCAATTCCCATAGTAGCAAAGAGGTGGACAGTCTGGCCTCTTCCTTTGAGATATCCGATCAACATATTGTATAAATACATTTTCTCAGATCCTTGCTTTCTTGACTGCAATTTCACGGGTACAGTTTTTAATGTAATCTTTGATTAAGTTCTCTTCAAACTGTTGGTAGAGAAGAACAGGATCTTTCAGTTTATTGAACAAACATATCAGTGCAAATATCGGTCTCATTTGAGATGGCATTTATATGGTTGATGCTTCATCCATGCATCTCTTCCATTCCTCATCATTACTGAATAAGTTCCTTTGATCAGCCGCTTCTCGAAAAGTGTCATAGAGAAAACCTTCAACTCCCGAGCATTAGGATTGTGAGGGTATACACGGCATTCCCTCTTGACGGGTGGCTCACCATCCATATTCCTGAATATCATGGCTACTTCATTCAGTGTAGTGAGATTGTACCTCCTCCTCCTGTCTGCATTTTGATCCCAGAAATATCAATCAAGAACTACAGTTGCAAACGTCTAAATCTTAAATGATCATTGTTCTATTTGTTAAACTAGACGTTTTGACAAGATTTATAAATTTTCACTTCTTGTTGCTCTTCTAGGTTATTTTGGTCCGACTTGTTTATCAAAAGTTATCCATTTTTTAACTTCAAAACAGTACAAAGTACAATTTTCAGGTTTTAATGTAAACAAATATTTAAGTCTTGAAATCCAGTGTTTTACAAGATAAACAGACTGAAAAATACTTTATAGAATGAAAATAAAAAACAAGTGCCAATGGCACTGCTTTCTGATAAAAAATGAAAAATTCTACATATTTTAGGCTTATCAAAACCACCATGCTCAACTAGTGTATTGTTTTCTTTGTCAGTTCTCCAGAAATTAGAAACTAGAGGGGTAAGTTCAGTAAATCACTCAAGAGTGTCTCATTATATACAATAGTTATAACAAAAGTTTACGACTACATTTTCATTCACCCCATTTTTCACTGTATAAGCTTCAACACCTAATTGTTTATGTTATAAACACTAGATGTAAGTGGGTAAACAACTTTTTAGTCTCTACATAAATAATGTAATTTCATGTTCTATTACTTGGTATTTTCAACCTGAATGGCAGCTCATATAATACATGGGCTAAATGGCCAGATCAGAAATCCTGAACTTCAGTCATTTCTAATTTAGAACTACTGACCAGAATGAGAGTAGCCGTTCAACAGCACCCGCTACCTAATCATAACTAAACAGTAGGATTGATCTTCAAGGTTAAAATGTCCCCCACAGCTATCACTGTGATGTGTGTTCAGTAGCACATCATGATACATTGGACTTTCCAATCGATGGTCCAACATGTTAGAAAATCTACAAAATAAAAACATTCTTCAGACTTCTTAAAACTCTGGCTATTATAAAAATATACTATTATACATCCATGAAGGGGGAAAAAAAATTAAAATATGGTTTTTGAGCACACTTAAGAATACAATTTAAAAAACATATTTTAATAAGCCCTCAATAATGTGATGTACAATGGTTCTCCCATTCCAAAACATCAGTTGATTTTTGACTATGAAAAACCATATATATATATATTCATGATTTCTTTCTTCTAAAAAACGTCTTCTTGGCAATTCCCTTGGCTTCTTCAGGTGGTATTGTTGTGAATATTTCATCTAGAGGGTCTAGGTTGTATGACTTTTCAGGCTTCCTGTTTCTAGTAAACTCTTTATGTTCTGCTCGATCCTTATAACGGCCTGAAGACATTTTCTTCAACATTGCCCGATGCTAGAAATTGCATTATAGCGTTTTCAGCAAAGTTAATTTTGTTGTTATAATACACATTCTTTTTGAAATACTAATCAAAAATCCTATCATAATATTCTAAGTGCAAATCATTTTGCAAGTCTAATATAAACTTAGCATTTATACTTTTACTACCTTGGAAAGTACTTCAAGTAAAATTATCTACTTACAACATTTGGAGAAATGTACTTGGGATTACTGTACAAGACTGGTCCACCAAAACTTCCCTCAAAAATCTTAATTGGATTCAAGACAAACCTGGGTCCTAATAAACATGAGAAATCCCAGGGCATCAAAATATAAAAAAAACAATTATTTGGTACTTCATTAAATCTGTATAAAATGTCAAAAGTAAACAAGTTTTCACTTTTATTATAACAATATCTTCAAACCTTCAATGATCAGTTTGATATATTTTAGAAGAGTTAGGAAGCTACTAAATCATAATCCACTTGTCTTAATGTAAAAGATTAAAGATTTACAAATGGTACATTTTTCAATAGGCATACATACATCCATAGGCATGATTTAATTTCAGAATAAATTTCATTATAGTTTTAAAAAAATATTTTCAGTAAATTACAAAAAAAAACATTATTAAGTATTATTGTTTAATAAATATGATGTATGAACATTCCTTTATGTCATTTAAAACAAATACCAGTGATTTTCAACTTAAACAAATATTCTAAAAATTGTACACAAATTAAACAATCTCACAATGCTATCTGCTATTGGTCCATCCATCTACTTCATCATCAAACCCACAATGCAATGCAGTAAACATTACATGACATAATCATGTGTGTGGATAATTACAACATGAGCTAGACTCACACCATCCAGCTTCTGCAGTATTCCTTTACTGGCAATGTGGTTAAAAATATTGTGCCCAATTGGTTGACCATTGGAGGTAATAATAAAATAGAAATCACATAAGATGCAGAGGTTTTTTTTCCTTCAAATTTCTCTAAATTTGTTCACGATTAACACAAATAATAGGTCTGTTGAGTTTTAATGCTTTGCCAGCTTTTGGCATTTAAACAATAACTTTTAATAACGAAATACCCTTTTTAGTATAGGGTGGCTGTCAGAAGCAGGGTACTGTAAACTGTGTCAATCCAAGCATTCATGGCCTATATACACTAGCTTCTTCACAAATCAAATATCTTTTTAACTTTTGTGAAATAGTTCAATTAAAAACATTGTTCAATGTAATTAACAATGAGTTTTACTATCATCAAAAAATATTTGAAATGAAAACACAACAGAAGATTTATACATATAAATAGCATATATACAAATTAAAGTTAATTTTGCAGTTGAATAAAGTTTTTGCTAGTGGGGAAAAAAATAACTAGCAACCATTTGCAAGTGCTTAAGAATTAAAAAAATATATATTTTATACGTTTTTAGCAGTATAAAATGACTGTGCAACATTGTAACTGTTAGGACATAAAAAAACAAGAAATTACATTACCAAAATAAATCCTTAACAACAGTTTTTACCCAAGACAAGGCTGTTAGGATCTAACTAGTAATAAGAGAAAGCTCTTTCAATACAAATCCATCTATAGCAACATGTTTTACACAGAATAATAAACAAACTAGCTAGCCAAAAGAAAAGAAGAAAATACATACACTACTGAACATTATAATACATAGATCTTACCAATCTCCACGAGGGAGCCATCTTCTTCCATTATCTGATAATTTCTGAACCAGATTCTGTTATCAAGGATGGAGAAAGTAAAGACATGATCTGTGAAAGGCTGACTTTTAGGATGATGGTATGGTGTACCAAAGACCTAAGAATCGTAAATATAAAGAACTGTAGCTTGTCATCACAAAGGACAACAAAAAACCTCAAAATAACATACATGGAATGTACTTAAAAAATTAGAATATTCAAGATAAGTTTTTATTGACATACAACTATTCATTTCTTCAAATAAAACAAAATGGCTAACTTGTTTGACAAACTACACACTTTTATGTTGTTCAACAATATGAGTAAAGTTATTTTTAAAAAAATCATTCATTTAACTTACATAAAATATTTCAAGAACAAATAAATCACATGAGTAAATGTAGTATTTTGGTAAAGTGCTCAAAAATTATGCACAAAAATGAGACAATAATGAACAAAACAAATTCTACACATGTAAAAATCTGATAATCTTTCATTAATTGTAGTAAAACAATATGACTTTGGCAAGCTACCCCCCACCCTCCTAAAAGATTTTTAGATATAACAAAACAAAGTAAGGACACTCCTACAAGTCATTATCACAATACAATTTAGGCAAGTTACTGAAAATAGTGAAACAACTTACCTGTACTAGTAGCTCTTTTAAAAGTGAAAAATGAGGAACCTTGTCAAAATTCTGAAAACACGAAATGTTAATAACTATTAAAATAGTTCCCTGTCCTTGATTAAACAGATCTTGAAAATAAGAAAATAACTATTCTATTACTGTTCTGAAACCATTTTTGTGTTTATATTCCCAACTATGTATAGAGTACACCACAAATCACAAGCTTCTGATCAAGGAAGCTTAAATATTTAAAAAATGTAACAATTTTCATGCTGTAACCTAATACTGGATGATGTTTTGATTGTTTCCTTGAGAGAGTGTCTTACAACAAACTGATTTGATGAACACTGTTCAAAGTGGATGTAAATCCATTGACAATTATTAAAAAAATTAATACCAACTTATCCATACTTGCAACTAAAAGTAAAAATGTTAAAAATAAGCAAAAAAATATTTCTTTTTATATAAATATTTAAAACTAACTTTTATTCATGACTTTATAATGTAAATTCAGAGCTTCACATACGGATGAATGAAGAGTACATTTCAGATATTTTCAGCCAAAACTTGTATGATTTATCCCACTGTCTGTCAGTTTACATAAAACACACTTTGCATCTGCCATAACTTGGACTGCACACAAAAAAATATTCAATAACAGATAAATTGTCTACAGTTCCAATATTATGGGTAGTTTACTTTTTGGAAAACAGTAATCCTACCTTATCAAATGAAAGCAAAGGCCTTGAGCCTTTCAGACAGTTCCCTGTTAATTTCAGTTCCTCCATTGTATGCACTGAAAGAAAAATATGACATCAACCTGAAACTTTAAAAACAGAATATATATATAGTTCTATCAGAGTAATTTATCTAAAAATCATACTAATTTGAAAAAATGCTTATAATTAATATGAAACATACAAACTATGATTGAAATTAGTAATTAGACAAATAAAATTAATTTTTTCACTTCTCTTTATATAACTAAATATTTTGGTCAACCATAAAATTTTATCTTACCATTATAGTTTTTATAAAATAAGCACTAAAGAAAAGCTCAAGTTTCATTTGGTGAAGGCTAAGAAAAATGAAACTTTGTTATAAAGAGCATTTTTCTAAAATAATTAATTAATGCATCTTGAACAAAAATGAGTAAAAAAAATGGTTTGGGGAGTTACTATACAAAACTGTTCCAGTTACTTAAGTTAATACTAGCAATATATTACATTTCTGTGTTCTTAGGTTTAAAAATTTTTTAATTCAAAGAATGCTAGTTTGATCACAAAAGAATTTGTATAATTGAATATAAACTGACATATAATTGTTTTAAACTTTAGAAAAAAACAAACTGATGTAAACATTTTGAAGAAAAAAACTAAATTTCAAAATTATTTTCATCAAGAATGTTGAAGTCTTGTCTGAAACATTTTTTGCTTCTTTTACTGCTATCTTGGTAAAATGTACAATCTTTTCCTTTTTTTTTAATATCTTACCTTATTATACTGAACTCATGCTGTTGGTATTTAAAATAATGGTTCACGTTAGTAACTAAAATGATGTTGCAAAGTAATTCAGCAACATAATCTTGTTGCTATATAAAATGATGTTAATTGTTGGTAAACAATACTATAAAGTTCTATTAGTTATGCTTATATGTAGAGGAATATTACATTAAAATAAACAAGAATATATCTCAATTATTTTTAAAAAATCGTTTAAAAAGTTAAAAAATATCTTACCATTCTGAACAAGAAACTTAGCAGATGGTCCTCTTGGTACATTAGATACCCTGAAGAGAAGAAGGTATCATTTATGAAAACTACATTTTAAAAAATAATCAAACTTGAAAATTCTGATAAGTAAAATTTCTTTTAACTAAAATTGCATTTTCAGTTTTAAAGCAATTTCTTACCACATGTAGAGGTCTTCTTTTTTCTTGTTTTCAAAATATATAGATTTATTACAATTTTTCATTTCACATATCTGAAATTAACAAAACATACAATATTAGATGCATTTAACATGATAAGATTATTAAAATTAAACAGTTTTTAAAAAAGAGAAATGACAGTTGTTTCCAAAGTTCTAAAACTTGCAATTTGCTACATATAATTATGGTTTTCATACACAACAACATGCAGAGACTATGGTTATTGTAAAATGTGGCAGATACATGTCAAGCCATAACCAGCAATTAGTTTAGGATTAAATAAGTTAGTTTCATAAACCACATGTGATTTCCACATGATTGAACAAATTAAATCCTAAACTTTCTTCAGAATATTTGTGACTTTTTATATTAGCTTGGGATCCCCAAATAATACAATTTTATTTCACTCCTCTAGATAAAGTAGGCTTCATTTTATCTTTGTACCAACTTATGTCTTTACAAGGTCTACTTAATCTCATTTTATTTAATGAAATTATAATTTCATATTAAATTATTTTTAAATAAAAATAGTTTCAGACTAGATCAGAATCAACAAAGTATGTGCCACATGAAGTAAAACTTAAATTTCACTTTTACATTTTGAACTATGAAGTCAATCTCTCATAGTTGAGGCACAGGATCTCAGACTATTGAAAAACTTGTCACAATGATTTAAAATAAATGTCAGATGACAAATACACCATACAATACAAATCTTATTAAGCTCCTATTTCCACTTTTAAACATTTCACACATATTTAGTCAATTATAAATAGGAATAAAAATCTGTTACCTTTATAATAAGTACAAGATGCAATAAAACTATATATCCATGGATATTTGATACTTATATTATTATATATGATAACAAGTTGTTAAAACTTACCTCATTTATAACAAACAACGAGTCTTTTTTCTCCATTTTTGACTCTGAAAAATGTCAATTTTTTCATAATCATAAAATATTTATTATTACAAACGACCATATACAAAGATCTTTAGCTATCAAGTCATACATGCAATAAACTTAACATAATTTTTAAAAACAGCAGTGTTCATTAACATTCAAGATGACAAAAAAAAATTCTACAATTACCTTGTATAGCTATAATGAGTAAATAATATTTTTTTTAAAGTTTAAAAATTCCATTAAATAGACTAGTTTGGAAAATCCAAAGAAAATTTAATACTGCACCTGTAATTTCACTTACAAACATTTTACACTTTTTTTTAGTTTTTGTTTGGAAATTTGAATTTATTTTTGGATAAAATCATACAGTGGCTAGCAAATATTTTGCCAGTTGTAAAAGGCTCAAATTAGAAAATTTGTCAAAATAAAATCAGTATATTACCTTTCCTTGAATGAGGAAGCAAGGACTGCAAATTTTGCATTAGATGACGGTCACGATAAGTAATACCTCTAGATGCGAATATCAGTACTCTTTGCTTATTGGTCCACCTTACCTTCAACATAAAAACAAAGGAAGTTCATGCCATTAAAACAAACTCGTATATATGAAGCATGATGGAAATATTAGTTGTTTTCAGTTGTAAGTTAAAGATTTTTCTTTTGTTCACAGAAATTCAACTTCTAAGACAAACATTTCCATACCAGCAAGGCAGAAGACAATCGAATAAAACTGACAACTGCCCCACAAACAATGAAGTATTGCTAAGAGCACACACACACACACACACACATAGTGGATGACCAAAGTACTAAGTAGTGAGAAATATAATTATCACAATTGAATAATTAGAGGTATTTAAAAAAAATTAACAACAAGTTAAAGCTTGGAATGCTCTATTCTTTCATTGGGGTGTGTGTCTATGGGCTAGACTAGTTTTGGAGAATTCCACTCCTCATCAGTGACCCTGGACACTACCACCAATGAAATATCATACTAGTCTGGCTCATAGACACACACCCCAATGAAAGAATAGACCATTCCAAGCTTTAACTTTTGTTAAACAAATGTTTAAACAACTCTAATTATTAAATTATGTACAGCTGCCCAGTGTCAGATAACAATATGAAGAATTAAATCGTGGCAGATTGCTACAAGTTCTTCAAATACCTATAGAATGATAGGTTTCTTTTTTGGTGATTGTAAAACACGTAAATACACCAGTTTGATATAATTATCATATCAGAAGTTATTACTAACAAAAATATCAAACCCTACCTTTTTATCAATCAGTAAGGCTATACAATGCCTTACCTTTCTCTTAATTTCAAGTTTAAAACTATTGCATTTTGACTAGCAGGAGAGCTTTCCATCTACGAAAGTGCTTTTTTCATTTTATATTTGATAATTTGTATTTTTAACTGTTATTTTCTATTAATTTAGATAACCTAATATGACATTGTTAAACATTTACGTTAGTTATCAAAAGTTAGGCTTAACCTTTCTATTTATCTACATTAGTACAAATACAAATCTACATGTACTGGTAGTGTTATTTGTAACAGTTGTTTTTTTATAAGTACTTTTTATATGTTTTAAAATTCAGAAACATGTTCATTCACAAGCTGCATATCACTATGAATAAGTTACTCTAAGTATGGGAAACATATGAATAAAATTTATTAGGTTATGACTCTCACTAATAGAAATAAAAATTATACATGCAACATTCTACCTATTAATGTGTTACCATTTGAGAGAACTAAATAATTTTCTGCTTTACAATTAATTTCAAGGCTTGGAGTAACAAGTATGTTTAATAACTTGACTAATTTTATGTAACATTACACCCCATGGTTATACATTTAAACTAAATATAATAAATCAGATTTTAAACAGTCACATCAATGAAGCAAGAAGTTGAAATAACTACAACTTTTAATGATAAAAAATCATTTGAAATACTAGCCATTTCAATTATATAGCATTAAGGCTGGTTGATTAACTCAATTTATTATCTATGAGCATTGAAAATAATTAACTTAAAGAAATTAGTGTTTCCTATTATTCCAATCATCCAAGTAATCGAAATACTGCCATTATGATTTCTCGTTACTTTCAATTAATTCAAGGTTGTTCAGTTTAACTGATTAGTGTCACAACTCACAAAAATAATCAACTAATCAAAATTAGCATTTCTAATTATTACTATTTTCATTTATTCCAACTATCCAAGTCTCGTGAGTATAATCAATTAGTTGAATGTAGCTGATTAATAAGCTTAAAGATTAACAGATAAACAAATTCCACTAATCCCCCAGCTCTAATATCTGACACTGAAACCAGTAATAAACTTAAACGTGCCGATGGGACCTATATGAACCCATCAGCTTTTTCTAAACTATTTTTACATGAAAGTGCTTTTCAGTTTACAAGGTTCTTAATAGCAGAAAAATAATGTCAATATTTTTGGGATATGTTTCAGGTCCTTTGTTGTTTGTTAACTATGTCAAAGATTTGAGTGACTTTTTCAGCTACGGTATTTTTGAAATTGCTGATAATGCTAAAATGGTGAATAGAGCTGCTTATGATGAGAATGTTGTTTTATGAAAGAAGACTGAAAATTTCATACAAAAGACTAATGTATGAAAGATGAGTTTTTTAATACTGAGAAGTATGGTTATGATTTGGTGTACGAAAATTATGATAAAACTTCTTATGAGAGATGTATACTAGTGTTGTGGTCAAAAGAGATTTTAGTTTTATTGCTGATAAAACACCAAAGATGAGTGAAAGGAGTAAATAGGATTCATGGTTCTATAAGGGCTTGTAAGTGAGGCCTTATTTGAAGAACTGTATAGAGTTTTGTTTTCATATTACAGGAAGGATACCGATAATGTCAAATTGAATGCAAATTTAGTCAATTAGAATGAATCTTGATTCAAATCATTTACACTGTAAACTTGTAGAGGACTGAGTTTTGGACTTGATTCAGATGTTTCAAATCTTTAAAGGGATGGATAGTTTTCTTATGGGTTATATATTTCTGTGGTAAAATGAAAGAGCTTGATTACTGAAGGTAATACGTTTAAATCTGGAAACTTGCATGCAATCTGTTCTTAGACAATAAAAATTCAGTTAAGGTTTACAGCTTGTGTAATTGTTTGTTTGATGTAATTTGTAATATTAGTTTGAACTATTTTAAAAACTGATAGTTACGAATGTAAAGAGCTAGGATTAAGTTTAAATCTTAATTTAAATCAAAATAGAATTTCTTAACAGTAGTGTTATTTAAATTGTTTGGACAAGGGATTGAATGTCCTTCTGTTACTACAACATTTTTCATATCCTTACATTTACATGCATATTTAGCATTCAAAACTAAAATTCCTTAATCTTACTCATACTTTCAATGTTTGATCAATAATTAATCAAATGGGAACAATAAATTCAAATTTTTCCATTAATGAACTAAATGACATGGCACATTGCCACATGAATATTAAACTTTTAGATCAGTGTAAAAAACTACTTGTCATACTGTAAGTCATAATAAACTGCATCATACTACACTTCTGTTTTTGTTCATTTGTCATCTCTTCTAAAATAACTATGCTAAAACTTATCAAAATCACAATGAATTACAGAACTAAGAAATTTCTAAATGCACTGTACTAGTAGGATGACAATCATGAGGTAGTTTATCATATTGGATGTCAAGTGCCTACATTCATCTGAGGTAAAAAATTACACATGTCTTCTACTATTATGTTATCTGACACTAAATAATCTCAATGATATGCATAAAAGAAAAATTTATCAAGAAACTGAATAGCCCTAGAGTTTTGGATATTTATTTTTTTTCAAAGGCAATATTTTGTTCACTGACAACACAAAAAGCTTTACAGATGTTTTTACTCATATGGATTATATTATTCTGCTTGTTTGTATGTACGACCATTACGCTTTCTGACCGAGAACTTGCTGCATAAGCATGCATACTAAGAATGTATCCCCCAGAAAAACCGTGCATGCGCATTATTCACTCGATGACAAACAGTCTTCCTGTGGCAGTGATAAAGTTGCTACAATTGCTGTATGAAACAAGAAGTAACAACAAAAGGGGGAATGTAAATATACTTTACTAACCATTTTGTACAACAGAATATTAAAAACTTATCAAAGTTTTT